GGGAGAGGAACATCAAATCGAAAAAAAATCGAGAGGGGGGGGGGACAGAAGAGTGTTCAAAGATATAAAAGAGACAGAAACAAAGGTAGATGAAAGGTGAGATGAATACTGTGGAAGTAGTCGAATATGACATGCAGTGGGGTGATGGTAGTTTGAAGTGAGAAGTCAACTGCTAGATAGACTTTTTTGCCGCATAAGTATACGTTGCCCAGGGTGCACCACGTGGAGGTATGTCTATCGCACGCCCACAATTATTAGGATATAACAGATGTCAATTAATGGTGTGACGTATTCATGCTTTGAAATCGGATCACAATCAGGAAATCCATTCATGTTATCGAAGTCTACGCCAGCCATCACCACGTGGAAAACCAACTACGAAGAATGACTAATAATAAAGGATCAATACTGAGTAGCTTCAATCCCCGGCCATCACAAACGAATTCATCCTAATCTGAACTTTGCTCACCTCCTAATTTGTGGATTTGCGTTTAGTTAGTGTAAACTGACTTCAGTGAATGTAAACTCCTCTTCCTGTGACAGCTGATTTCAATTGCCATTGCTGGCGGCGTTATAAAACACGACGTATTGGAGAATAGAAAATCATTTATAAAATTCTCATTTCAGTTCTGGCTCAGATTCAGCCAAACATAAGGTGTTAAACAGGGCTCTTAGAAGATCTTTGGAAGAGAGATCTTAGCGTACACTGCACGATATGCAAATGACCCTAGTAGAGACAAAGCTGAAGTTGCATGAGCGATGGTGCGTTTAATGCAAATAACCACGCACAAAAGTACGATCTGCCTACCTTCTTGACAGCCTTTGGTGACAATATGGTGGGAGGTATTATTGACTTTTTGTTGACATGGTGTTCGCTTTAAGTAGAATATTCCTTTGAAGACCCCTTTTCTCAGACAAATGATTACGCGTTAGGTTTCTTATTAACATAGTCATATATATTATTAATGCAAAATATAAGTTACACTTTTAGAAATGACTGTCAGCCTGCGTAAATGAAGTGAAGTCATTAATTAACTTAAAAATACAATTTAGAGGAAGAGCACTCATCATTTAATTATTGCATGAAGGTCTACCCATCATATATATATATATATATATCTTACCTTTTTCTCTATCTATGTGTATCTGTCACTTTTACTTATGTGGATCTCTCTCTTCTGCGCCCCCCCCNGCCGGTTAATAGACTTTTTTGCCGTATGAATGTACGTTGCCCATGGTGCACCATGAGGCGGTAAGTCTATCGTACACCCCCAAAATCATTTAGATAGACTCTATCGTTCATTGGTAAATAAATACTAGAGAAAGAGTGTTATTAGGGGTTTCGCGTATATAGTGACAAGTCTGAATACTGAAAATGTAAAAAATAATTGAAAATTTGAACATTCTGAAACTAGGATAAAGTAAGTGTTGCATTGGCCTAACCAACTTGTACACCAGTGGCTACATTGAGTTATATTGATGGGGCAGAGACGTCATAATCGGTACAGCCCAGATGTAAAATGGGAGCGAGTTGGCGTAGAATAACTTAATTATATGGCTAGGCTAGAAGGGGTGGGGGAGTGTGGCGAGCAAATGGGGACGTACTGATGATTCGAATCAATTTCGTTCGATATAGATAACTGAATATCCAATGCCATTGCTTTGCGTGCTGCACGCGTATGTTCAAAATTATCGATTTTCGATACACCAATTATTTATCGATCTTTCACCAAGTGCACTAGACAATTCAGGAAACAATTTGTTAATTAATATAAACACCCACCAACATGACATAACATCTCATATTCTCAATTTCAAACTCTATTAATTTTATTTTATACATTATATCCTCTACTTTGCCTAAAGCGCTGAGACGTATGCAGTAAATTGCCAACTAAATACGTTGCCATTGATTTTCTTTCACCATTGGACCTTATTATTTCTAATTCAAACTCTCATGAATTTGACCCACTTAGTTACACTGCACTTATGCAGTACCCCCCGTCTATAGCAGCATATGGTATATTATTAGATTAGCGATGAAAACATCATGCATAACATTGACGAAAACAACCACATCTTGTTTATATGGCCACAGAGTTTTCTCTTCCATCGAGTTGAATTTGTAGGCTAAAATTCCTTCTGCCAAATTTGTACTCTCAAATTGAATTATTTTCAGTCTTATAAGTAAGCAAGTGAAAATCTCATCTTACACGAGTCAAACATTCCGAAGATAGTAGTGATCCTCTACAATATTAGACGAATAGCAGAAACCGATTTTTAATTTACACAAATAAAAATATCCAGAAACGCTGTCATGAAAAACGATATTCACTGCAAATGCCAATAAAATGCAGTCCTGACATTAACTCATGTAACACCTTCGGAGCATCAACAACAAATCGAGGTTTTGAGAAATTGAGAAAAATATCTTTACCCTTTACGACTAGTGCCATACATCGTCAAATTCAAAATGTACTAATAATAACTCCAACTTACGCATTAGCCAATTCAAGATTCCGAATTTGACTCTTCAATCGTTGATTTTCTTTATGGGACTTAGAGACCTGTGACTCAAGACTAGAGACGTACTCCTGTCGTCGGGCACGACTGGCTTTCGCGGAGAGTTTGTTGCGAATTTTTCGCCTCATCGTTCGAATTGCGCGCTCCTCGCCTCGAGTGAGGGGAAAATGAGTGGGAATACGCTGGCCCATTTGGATTAGGAGTCTTCGCTCTTCTGGTGTGAAGAAAAGACGCTGACCCTGAATTGCAAAATCAATAGACAAATATTCGGTAGGAATTGACTTAATACACAGAGAGAGCACAGACGAGTTCTTATCCACTTACACAGATAAATAGGTGTTTCGTAAGTGCGAAATGGATTCTATTTATTTATTTATTTCAAATGGCAGGCGTTATGATAGGTATCATTAGCCCCCTTAGTTCCGGCGCCCTGCTTCACAAAAAGGAAGAGGAACACCAAAGTGGCAAAAATGCTTCACAGAAAGGTAGAGGAACACCAAAGTGGCAAAAAGTCGAAAACGGGGACAGAATAATGATTCACAGACGTAAAAGAGACAGACACAAAGGTAGAAAAAAGGTGAGGTGAGTACAGTGAAAGTAGTCGAATATGACATACAATGGGGTGTTGGTAGTTTGAAGTCAGAAGTCAACTGCCGATTAATAGACATTTTTGCCGTATGAGTATACGTTGCCCAGGGTGCACCACGTGGAGGTAAGTCTATCGCGAAATGGATTCTGAATAAGGAGGAATTAAAACTGTAATCTCCACAGCTATTTTGAAAAGTAGGAGTGGAGATTAATCGAGATTAGATGAAAATATGAGCTTTCATTATGGAAAGATGGAAGAAAGAAAAGTGATAGCACATGTCCGCGACGTGGACTAGTGACTGTTACGAGAGACTAAAACAGCAGCCAAAAGCAAAGGGAAACAGAAGGATCAACTCAGTCAACCGAAGCCACCAAATAAAACCTTCTAAGTTCGATGAATAGATGGAACTGGTGAAAAAAAAGGTTGTGGGTTTCATATTCATTCCGAACATAATCAGTGGGCAGATTTTTCAACTAAAATGGTTAAATCCCGCCAATAAGGTTGAAGGAATTTCCGACTTCTCATTGGACAGATTATAAATTTCCTCAATCTCTGAAAACACTCACAAATTTATACGCGTCCTAAGGTATGTAAACTAAATTAAAGAGTTTGCAAGATTTGATAAACATTTTAACAACAGTAATGACAATGAAAGCCTTACTTGCATGTCAGCACTAATTATATTACAATAAGGGAAAGAGAAAGATATTAAAGATAACGTGACTTTGACAAGAATTATTGCCGGGAGCATTTCATTCATTAAAAGGTAAATAGGCTCATTTAAATACTAATACCAAAAAAACAGAAAATTAAATGAGGTCATGAGTAGTAAACCAAGAAGCAGTTTGAGTCATTAAAGTTATAATAACGCTTCCTTAAAAAGTGGAGAGTTCATTTACAATAAATTCAAATTAAGACTTGAGTTCGCGTAAAAGTACTGAAAAAAACGGTTAACAAAGAGGAAGATGAAATCGAAAAGCTTACGGGTTTGCCATGAGTAAGATCTTCATTATGCAGACAGACAGAAGAATTGGTGTGCCTAGTTTTCTGACGAGATTTTCTTGCAGTGGGACGTTTTAGTTCCACGAGTTCACCGGAGTCCTCATCGTCTAATTCCTCATCAGAGATACATTCAGAGGCACCATCAGTATTGAGGGTATTCCAAACTTGTCTCTCGGAGGAAGTATTGGTAAAGGATTCATTTTCCCGTACTTGGACAAATGGATCTTCAGCCTGTTCCTCGTCAACGATATGCATTAAATTATCAGGAATAAAAATGTCAGAAAAATCGGTTTCAGGTTTAAAATCAAACGCTGAGGTGAGGTTATCTGTGCCCGGGGAGAGCATTGGCAAGGAGGGATTAATGTTATCAATATCGAAGGAGAAAAGATCACTCTGATCAGCTTCACCTAAATCAAACAAGGGGATGTGAGTTTCATTTTGAGATTCGTCGGTGGCAACTACTTCCTCTTGATGATGGAAAGTGATTAGATCATCAGGAGAGCTTTCATTCACTGTTTGAAATATGGGCGAACAGGTGGGCGCATTAATGACAGTACGAAATTCTTCAAAATTAAAACTTTCCCTTAAGCTGTTGAGACCATTAGAAATATGCTCCCCTATCCGCGGAACAAAAAACGCAGCTGAACCGACATCATACTCCATGACAAGTTAATATTCAAAGTGGAATCTATCAATAAAAATGTTTAAAGTGCATAAAGAAATGGTATGCAAATAATTAACAGGATCAAATACTCTAAAAAATTAAATGCAATCAAATAAAATCAATTACATAGTGATTACATTTAAGAATGAATTATAAATTGATAAAACATACTGATGACGTTTACCAATGGAGCAATCAGTCACGTGATGACATATATTAAATCGTGAATGGCTGGAATCAAGGTCAAAAATAGTGGTAGTTTATATTAAGGACGTCTTAGTTACTTAAAACAAGTTGTTCAAAATATTATAATTAATAATTTTATGAAAGATAAAATTATTCAAAAGCTTAATTTCAAAGCAAAATCATCCTCAAAGCTTTAAAATTTCAAACAAAACAATTTCCCTAACAATTTATTTGAAGCATTTTAGGTTTTTTTTCATTTAGAATTTTTTCATTTATTAATAACCATTCCTTTTTCTTATTAGATTTAAGCATTCTGTTCCTTTCCAAAGGAAAATTTTATTACAGTTATTTTCCAAACTTTAGTTTAGAATACTATTCACTTTCGTGAATTGTTAGCTATTTTTTTGAAAACTCAGTTCCATTTGATTGCAACACTTATTCATATTAAAATCTTAGTATCAAATAAACTGCTTTTTAACATGCCTAACCGCAGAACTGAGTTTCAACATTCTTATTCTTTTGAAATCATTTCGTTTAACGGAATAATTGAAGATATCTTGATCTCAATCCTAAAGGCCTCTCAATGTTTGGTAACAGAAAAGATAATTTATTAATGCTCATGCTGTTCTTTTGCTTTCTTGGTGTAAAATCGATAATAATTTCTTTTATGATATGTGATTAAACTTCTCTGCTAAAATTGTACACCTTACGACTTTCAGAAATGTTTCTAAGCTTACGTTAGCCACAGGATGAGAAAATTGCTTCCTTAGCCTTTGGTCGCTCCACCTCAACTCGACGTGTATCATTGCGAATCGCGCTCGTGACCTCCAACTTTGAAAATGAGGCAACATTAATTGTAATACGATTAGCAATGTCAATTACCTTTTGATTTACTTAAGATACTCTTACTATAGACTGGTTTTATAGTTAAAATACAACCAACTTATAAATAAATAATTGAGCCTTATGCATATTTTCTAAGTTTCTAATATTGATTACTTTTGTGCACCTGCAAGCTGCTTACACTCAGCTTTGAAATAAGTCTTTATGCACCACCCCGAATGATTAAAAAATGCTATCGATAAAATTTTCAAAATCCTTCAACGTGGATCCGAGTGAGTATTTAGGATTATAGATTAGTTTGGTTAAATGTCGAGTTTCATATCGCCTGTATATCACATAAAAGGGGAATAAATAATTTAGTTAGACCATTTCCGCTCATAACGCTTGGTGCAGCAGAGACATCAAAACGGAGCATAAATCGTTAAATTAATGTATCTCTTTGGCTGTTCGGACATGAGAGTAGTGATTGCATCGAAGCAAATTCGAAGTGTCCATGCTTTATACTTGCTAATAAGCCAAAGATTTTATGCTTCAATAACTAATATCCGAAGTTCGAACCACTTGGTAGCATTCAAGTCGCGTATTTGTTGGGTGACAACGTACCAAGTGAGCATCTTGTAGAGTCTACCTCGTTGGAGCCAGCCCGAAAGCGCCCATTTAAACTGTTTCAGAGTTGATGTCAATAATAAGTGTTCGATGAGTAACCGAAGTCAGTCCCGATTTACTCAATTATTTAAATAGTAAAGTCGGAGCATAGACTTTATATATACTCTACGTTGACAAATAATTGGTCCATTAAGGCACATTGCTAAGACCTTATTCCAACACAGAATTTGGTGACACTATTCATTGATTATTAATGATCAATCGGTGATTCAAAATGATGATTTTTCTTTAGATCAATATAAATTGACAATTCCTTGCGAGAATTTTTTACTTATTTGTTATTTCGATCTATATATCACTTTATTGCATAGTATTAATGACCAGAAGTTAATTCCTCAGACCATGAAGGAAAAATAGGCGATAGAAGCGTCACCGCCAAAATAACGCTCGTGGTTTGTATAGAAGACAATTTAAACAATTAAATTGATCTATGATTGGCCAAATTAGCCCTGATAGTTGAATTTCAGCAAAAGGTGCCAATATTCGCCATGCTATGACCTATCATGATGACTCAGGGTCTCAAGTCCTCTTGCCGGTGGCGTGAGATTGACATGACAGTGACGTGAAACCGATATTGCACCTTCTATGCATGATCAGGAACTATTTAACGCCCTCCACTCATTCATGATTATTGCAGGGCAATAGTTGACTTGAGTTTAGTGCAACAATGCTTGGCTTTCGCTTATTACCAGATATAATATGACAATATTGGATTGATTTTGAAATGACCTGATCCTGTATAGGCAGTTAAGGAAATTTTACCACTTCATTTTTAGACCGGTTTGATTATAAGCATTATTCAAATCACAAATAGATATTAATAGGAAAAGTCTCCGTTTTAAGTAGATTTCAAGTGTTTATTCTGTGCAGCGTAAGTTCTAATGAAAGTTTTTCTCCGATATCTGTGATAATGCAATCGATGCGAATTTCCATCATCGAAAACTCATATTCTGACAAACTATCACATAGTAGCTTTCAATGTAAGAAACTTCATCCGGGTGAGTCACTTTCAAGCAAAAGAAAACCACTAAGACAAAGACACAAAGAGGTAAAAATACGGCACTTAGAGATTGAAAATCATAAAGAGAGCTACTCTACAATCCTTCAGAAAAAAACGAATTTTGAAATTATACATCTTCGACCATTACATTTGCAAGGAAAACACATATTAATCAGCAGCTAACAAAATCACGTCTCCAAATTACCGGGATTCTTCAAAAGTTCACCCATCCGAATAAGAGCCCATGGGCGGATTTCCAGGAAACCCCGATGTCCCTACAACAGATCCATTATTGATATTTGCCAAGGAAGGAAAGATGTGTAGATTAGAAGGCTCTCTCCCAGAACTGTCCACAATCTTGCATTTAGTTGTCACTAACAGGAAAGAATTTTGGACCACCAACTAGTCATCAAGTTTGCATCCCCTCTTGTGCCTATTGGTCCACAGAGTTTGCTTACATGCGGAAGTTGACACAAATGCTTCATAAATGCCTTAATTTCGCTCTAGGTGGAGAGAGCATTTGGTGTAAAATTGCATCATTATTAAAAATACAACAACAAATGAAGAATGTCGAGGAGAGCATTGAAGAGTAGTACCAACCCCACCGAGAATTTCTTGTGTCACAACGGGACACACCTTGGTATTTAGTGAACTCTGAATAGATGCAATAATGAGACAGCCAGTTTGACGATGTATAAAGTGTGTCAAACTGATTCTAATCAAGGGTTCACTAAGAGAGTGCCACGAGGTGAAACAGCACCAAATAATCTATATTTTTGAGAGAATAGGACAAGTTGGCGAGCCAAAATTGTCACAAAAAAGCAATCTCCGAGACCTGTAAAATGAAAATAAAAGTAATTCGCTAAGAAGTACTTTTATCTTTTGATATTTTTTCATAAAATCAAACCCACTGCAGCACAGGAATGTCGAAACAGTGGTAATTACAAACGCATCCGTGAGCATATAAAATAGCCACGAAAAACCAGGATCTTTTATGTCAAGTTACATGATCTGCTCTATTAAATTTGATAATGACAAGTCGACAATTCATATTTTGTCACATATCTATCTCCGTGATTCAGTAGTGTTTACTTCGACGAGTGACCTTAAAAATCCTGTAAATAAAAAAGTTGGCCTGCAAGCACTTTTCGCAGTTTGGAATATCGGATATGTATTTATCTAAAATAATTTCAAAATAAAGACCTTTCAATGTAATGAGGAGAAAGTGTTCCTATAAAAAAAATTTCAAGAACCAAGACTGATAATTTAAATACAGAAAAGAATGCCAAAATGCAGGAAAGGTAATAATGAGGTACAGAGGAGGTCTTTATTTCAACGCACTAAAATTCGAAAGGTTGTCAAGTTAGCATGCTCTATATCATTTTAAAAAGGGGCAACTTACAAAGGTTGAGTGACTACTGCAAATATGAGACCATATTATGTGATCTTTTTGTTTACCCTGATTGAAAAAAAAATGACAGAGAAGGCCACGAGATAAAGCCACTATCGACATGATTGAATACAATTAAAATAAAAAAACAATATCTTAAATGAACTCAGTCTAGATTCGATTCCCTTCCGTGCAAAATCGACGCACGTCCAAGAAGTTACTAGCGTTTCCACACATAAAAAACTTCCACGACTCCGAGCATTAGTTCGAGCACGCCTGGCCAAAAACTCCAGCAGCAAACATGCATGGGAAATTTAATAATAGTTGATATCGCAGATAGCCAACATCTCCTCCGAATTGAGTTCAGATGAGCTGCAGAAAATGTTTCGAAGAAAATCTAACGAATCCAGTTTCTCTGCTATATTACAAGAGACATCACATACCCTTGTTAGGATGTCTAATTGTATATTCTCATTATACTAAATAAACTCACGATTTGTATCTCTTAAACAAGGGAATATCGATAAACTTAACAAAACATAAATCTGATTAAGTATTTAATAAATTCATTAAGATATTTGCATTAAAACGTGAAAGTACTCAATACTGAAATCAGAGGTAAGTCAGCTCTCCAACTGGAGACTTCGCTATAGCAAAAAAAATAATTCTAAAATACGTCATTATTAGAAGTAATTAAGAAGCGCTACTATTAAAACTATCCACAGAAACCCAGCATAATAATACGCTGGCAACATGAATCTCAACGGTCTTTCCTGATGAAATTGAAAAAGAGAGTAGATGTAATTGGGGCCACGCATGTATATCAAAGTCTCTATAATAACCAAGCTCATCCAACGCCCACTGGGATAACTAAGTTACTGAGAGAATTTCTCGCGAAGATCACATTGAATGATATCGCAATCAATTGATCCACCCACGAGTCCAAAAATTTATCGGTGAGTGAAATGAACAATCACATAGTTGAAACAGAGTATTATATATATATATATATATATATATATATATTTCACGGTCACAGGACTCAAAGTTCTTGTGATAACAAAGTCCGTACTCATTTCAAACTTACACAAACTTTACTGTAAACAAAAACTAGTGCTGTGGCATTAAAATCAAAGGAAAAAATTCCAAGACCAATCACCAACTTGAGACTATTAACAGAACATCACATGTAGTCTTAATCACCCAATGCATATTGTGGGGGTGAGAGAAATACGTACTAATACATTAACACGCAATGTCGCCAACAAAATTCAATAGAGAGGAGTTTAGAAAGGCTAAACTTAGGCCAAAATTAGAGTTACATAAGCAGATGTTGCAAATCATAAACACAAGTTAACAAAACAATACTTTGATCAAATTAATGTTCTGAATACAGAGGTAGTGATAGTGTATTTGAAATTGTTCAAGAATGGGATAGTGCAGATATTCCGACGCATAAAAATGAAGTATGAGAAATGAGGAAGGAGACGTGAAACTAAGTTTAAAATCTGTAATAAAGCAAAAATTGAATAACTTATTTTGGTAAATACAGAGAGGCTGTTTAAACTCCTCGTAAACGGGCCAAACGATCCGATAGATCTTGTTCTTCCGCAGGAATTGAAGAACTGGGAGCAGCAATTGTGGAATTCACACCGCTAGGAAGATTCAAATCTAACTCGATTCCTGCTTCATCCGCAGCTTCTCGCATGAGGTTGTCGACGTCTGCAGAAGGAGCATTTAGTGATGTTGTGTTGTTCATAGTTCCTTCCATAACCTAAAACACAAATGCAATTAAATAATCCAGAAATATTAGTGGCAAATACCTGTGATTGGACATCAAGATTTTCGAACTCCTTTTCAAAACTATCCATAAGATTGGAAACCTTTTCCAAGTTCATGGATTTCATGGCAGCGGCCATTCCTTTAACAACATGGCCCATTGATGCGGTAACTGATTGGGTTGTAACAGCCGTTTGAACTCTTGCTGCTACAGCATCGATTCGAGAGGACATGCGCATGTAATTAAGACCTTCGTTTTTCTTTCTGATAGCATTTTCAGCGTAGATTCGAGATATATCCATGTTTCCAGCTTGAATTGCTTTTTTAAGCTGATCTTTAGCTTGTTTCTCCTCTTTTTCACATTTCTTAGCGAATGTAAGAAGCTGCTTTGATGTAAATTTTAAATCAATAAGTTGGTCTTCTAGAGTCGGCTTCTTGAACCAATTCATCTCAACAAATCACAACCAGAAGCCTAAGAAAGACAAAATGCCCACCCTTAAGTTAGTGGACTTAAATAGGCCATGTAATTCAATTATGGAACGAATAGTATTTTATAAATTTTGTCAATAAAACACTTTAGAATTACCTCAATTTTAAAACTGAACCATTCAAGTTTGTTGTTTTTAGTAAGCATGTTTTTATTATTTATTTTTACACGGTCTGGTTGCTACAGAATTTACGCTATATGTAAAGAAATTATGGAACTCATTTAATTGTGATACCTCCAATAAAATGCTAATAGAAAATAAACCAAATCGTACCACTGAATTTTAATACCACATACGAAATTCTAAATTGAGGTAGTATCTTAAGGCAATTTTTGTTGTAAGTTAGTTTTGTAAGATCAATTAACCAATATCCATGAAGTAATTCCATGTTGAATATTTTTAACCTATAAAACGACGATGAATACATGGTTAAAATACTATTTACTTTTGAATGTGGGTAATCAAACATTTAGTAGCAAATAAAGTCGAAAATATTTGAGCTGTAAATCAGTTGTATTATTTCCATTCGTACAATTCATAGCTAAATATTACGATTCTCCCGAATTAATTGGTCTTATATTGTGTTGGAATCAGGTTTCTGAAAAAGATATAGAACAATTTTTTTAATAAGTCCAATGTGATTTATTTCGACCAAGTTGTTGAGTTGATTTGCAAGCCAGCTATTAACGACCCAGCAAACAATCGTTTTAAAATTGACTAAATTTAACAAATTAGTTCATGCAAATTGAAAATTTTGCATTTTTTCCATATAGCAATTGTCTCTTGACACTAATCGAAATAATTGATTGAATGGCTTCTAGTAGGCTAGGAGACACCCCCCATACCTAGGTGATTAAAGGCAAGTTCATGTCTCATAGGTACAAATATACTTTATAGTTTTATAGCGTTTTCGTAATCGATTTCAATCGTTAAGTCATGGTATCTAAATCAGTAAGAGCTTAATACCAAGTAAACGGAGAATATTGCACTCTGTGTGGGATGCTACTCCTGAGCATCTCACACAGAACTAGTGGCGGTTTCTACCTTATTTCACAAAATTCTAACGTTAAAATCACTGAAAAGTTGAGTAAACTTGGTATAATAAATAGGAAGTTGTATTCCATAAAAATATGTACTATATGAAACATATAATAGGCGGTATGGATGAAGTTATGGGGTTCACAATTCTAGCATGGCTAAACCAAGGAATTGCATGCGCACTCGAACAGTTTGGAACGTGCGACCGCGTTATTTGTTGCGTAGAGAGCAAGTGCGTTCGTGAGTGCAGAAACCTCTCATCCAACCAACAATCAATAGTCGGTGCATTGTTAAAGTAGCCAAAATTGCAATTTAATGACTAAGATGAAGCCCCAACCAGATTACATGCTATTTACTCCATAGAATCTTTTCCCGATTTTATTGGGGTAGCTTAGATAATTTCATGCATGGGAAATTTGCCATAGAATCTGCCACAAGACTGCAAATTTTCTATTCCAGTTGAGACAACCGAGTGAACACGAATAGTGGCGATTTATGGGTGCCCATGTCAACAATCCAGTAACATGTGGAATTTAAGTCAACTTTTGAAGGATAGTGCCACAAATTAGACTTTACGTATGAACCCCATTACCAATACAAGAGGAAGCATATAGAAGAGATAATCATCATTATTAGTGATCTTCCAATCTCACTAAACTATGAGAATGAATTTGCTGTTGAGATCTTTCCCCTCGTCGGTGGATCGAAGATCACAGACATTTGCACCGTAGAAAGATTCAGCATCAGCATCTCCAGTATCATGAGGTACGGAGAGGAAGAGGCTAGTCACGCATGAGGAATTTGTCATAAGGATTGTCGAGGCTTACCCAAAGCATATTCTTGTAGCATCAATTGCAAAGTGTAATTTGAATGGAATAAATTTGGGGTTTTAATTTGCAACAAATATTTTCAATTAGCAATTCCCCCACATTTAAGTAAACTTTTGTAATTAACTCGGGATCAAATCTCTGCTACACGTAGCATGGGTACAAACATTCGTCAGATTCTTTACGCAACTTTTTAGAACTTAATGAATTGATACAAAGACATCATAATTCACAAGCCCTGAGCAATACACTAATGCGCAGTTGGCCTGTGTTGAATTTGACATGAGCAACCAACTTTAATGTCTATTTTCAAATAGCCAAAGTTGCATTTTATCTAATCAATTTGTTCTCCCAATTGAAATGCTTCAGATGGGTTCATTTAGCGCAATATTTAAAATAAAAGTGGGAACTATTTTATTTATATCAAATGGCAGGCTTTATGATGGTTATCATTAGCCCTTTAGTTAACTTCAGGCTTCACAGAGGAAGAGGAACATCAAATCGAAAAAAGTCTAGGGGGTGAACAGAAGAGTGTTTAAAGATGTTAAAAAGACAGACAGACACAAAGGCAGAGAAAAGGTAGGATAAGTTGAAAGTGATCGAATATGACATACAATGGTGATCATGGTTGTTTGAAGTCAGAAGTCGACTGCCGGTTTAAGTTTGAAGTCAGAAGTCAACTGCCGATAAATAGACTTTTGCCGTATGAGTATGCGTTGTCGAGGGTGCACCACGTGGAGGTAAGCCTATCGCACACCCCATAAAAGTGGGAACTAATTGTGCTAAAATATGTTTTAAGTAAAAAAAACCCTGTTGCTCGTTTCCTCATGAGATTTGAATGGCGACTTAGACGCTAAGAAGTACTCAATCAAATATTTCAATCATTTTCTCCTACATTAATATTACAATTACATTAGTGGATAAACTTCCAGTAATATGGAGGCGCTAAAATCGATTTTCAAAGGCTTGAAAACTTAGTCTTATTTGGTTGATACATCTTACACTGTGAATGACTAAATCTGATTTATTCGATATGAAATTGATATTTAATTTATCGACATAAGATTAAAGCCTGAAGTTCTCTAAAGAACAATGCAGCAACAACAGAAATTTGAGGAGGGAATTAGCTTTAAGAAAAGATCAAATTTCACCAGTGAAGTTGGTCGTCCAAATCATTTAAAGCGCAAGGATAAGTAGCAAACTTATAACTTCCGACTTTCAGACGTGAACTTTTATCACCGCGATAGTAATCCAAAATAAGTTAATTTTAATTTGGTCAGTCATAAATTAACAAACAAATGTGTTTTTTACCTCATATCTGCGGTCATTTTGTTTGTCTATTTGGCCCTCAATACTTCTACAATGTTTTCATCGAATTCATTAATCATGCCGTCATTCCTACCACAAAGGGGAACAGTAATGTTTACTTTAAATTGTTTGAAGACAAGATCAGGCCTTTTAATAAAGTATTCGATACAAAGAAGGTTCATTCTAGATTCAAGTTTTATGAAAGTCAATAAGCTTTTCAAAAGCCCAAATTTACCAATAGAAAATTTGCGATATCTAATTGCAAATTTAAGCATGACGAATTTACTTTAGTAAATTTAAAGTTTTTTATTGAAGTACGTTATTGCACGCGCAAACTTTTACTATGAAAATACATGAGGCAGCCAATTGCCTTCTAAAATTTGTGGATTTTGAGGCTATGTTAGTGAATTTAGCTAGTGATAAAATATTGAATTTAAAGGCACCGAAAGGCGAAAGTTGAAGTGCTTAAAATCCGGTGTTAGAGTCGACATTAAAATTCATGTGAGTTTGCATGGGAAAGTTTTGAACCGAGTTTAGTGTCGAAACAAGCTTTTCTCAAAAAAAGTCCTGTTTACATACGCATACCTTTTACTTATCCATAAATAAAACTGGCTTTAGGCAAAGAAATTTAAATTTTGGGAATAAAGTAAACCAAATTGCAAGCGAACTCATTTTTTGGAAAAGGTTATTTCTTTGTGGTTGCCATAATCTTTGATTGGGCAGTGGGGGGTTCTGTAGACTCCTTGAAAAATGTGAACTTTACCGCACCCCCCCCCCCCCCCCCTCCCCCAATTAATAATCATGCGTAAATCAAATCTTTCGGCAATTCCACTTTTTTAGATGCCTCTGGCTTGGCAGACATGCACGGAAACCGCGGTGCCGCTGGTGCACACGTACTAGACATGTGCCTCTTCTCTTTTTGCCTTTACAACTTCTATTATATTCGTTTCTAAATACAAAATGGAAAAAAAAACTAGTTTTCGTACAATTGGTTTGTTCTTTAATAAACTTGCAGTAAAAGTTCCTTGCATTAAAATTTTATTTAAATAAAGTTCAATTCTCAAAGAACAAATGATTACCTATTACTGACACAGTTCTGTTGAGTTCTGTCGATTATTCAAAGTTATAAGTTAAATGGTCTCTCTATAGGTTTGGATCTGTTTGTAATTTTAAGAAGTTTAAGCGAGAAGTAAAGAGCGAAAGCATTGCATTCATTTTCGGCCATTTCAAAATGGTAAAACCTAACCTTTTCAACTCATCGAATAGCTTAAATAGGAAAGTGGATTGCTCATCAGAATAATTATGGCTTTATTTATGTTACCAAAATAAAAATTTCAATTGAATTATAGGGTAGAGGGGGTTAGAGTGATTAATACACAGAAATTGGGTTGGATTTCTCAAGGTTAGATGAACTGAGCAATATTTACCCACTAATCATCGATCAAGCACACCAGTGTCCATACCTATTTAAATGAGCAAATACCATAAAACGAAAACCACGAACCAATGAGAATGCAATGCTAAGCTATGCTGATTGGTAGGAAGGTAAGCGCAGGCACTTGCATTAGGTGAGCAGCACACTTAGCAACGTGAGGCCCTCTCATTCCGATCGCGCACTCCTTACCGTCGTGATGTCAGTCACCAACGCAGCCACTTCTAAACCCAAGCTTCTTCATCATCATCATCATAAGGACAAGCCTTCAGCTACCCCTACTGAATTCAAAGCTGATGCTGTAGTGGAAGGAAAATTCCCTATTAAACCTCAAGATGAGGTGGACATTCAATCTGCGCGCGAGGTTTTCGATATGCGTTCTCGCAAAAATATGGGTAAGTCCTACAAGGTCAAAGTCATTGGTACCGATACTCGACTCATTATCAAACGAAAATCGGTTGTTAGTTCTTCTCCACGGGAAATTTCCCTCCTTTGCAATGAGGTCTATCGATTTTTCATTTTCACTCGGGATCCCAAACTTGTCATTCTTGTTATTCCGGATCTCCCAGAAGGAAACCGAGCTTATCTACTATTAAAAATGAAGAGTCAAGCTGACGCTAATTCGGTGTGTAATGTCATCCAAAGTGGCCGGAAGAAACTCAGTTCCCAATCTGCTCTTCAGCAGGAGACTGTGAAATCCCCCAGCCAATCTCGAGCATCAGAAAGCTTTCAACCAGATGGAGCAGAAGTAGAGATGCAGGAGAATGGTAAATCTTTGGACAAACCCGGTGCTTACGATTCTGAGAGCTCACACTCAGAAAATGGACATGCTGACTCGGATACAGGAACTATTAGCACTCCAAAGAATAGTAAACACACGGGAATCCCAGAAGCGTCCTCCCGTAGAGCTTTTGAAGGTGTTGAAGAGACGAAAATTAAAGGTGAGCCAATTCAACTGGCCTCTATTCATGATGTTCAATCGGCATTCCCGGGCATGGCCGAAAATGAGAATAGCACAAATTCTGTTTCAAAATCAGACTCGAACATGGAGGAGGGTGTTCCGAGATCTTTACCAAGAACACCACTTCACTCCTCCCCAGTTGATAACGTAGTCAAAGAGAGGAAAGAGAAAAAGGAAAAGAGAAGTCCCCATCGAAGGGAACCCCCACTCACTGAAGAGATGTACGTTGAACCTCCGAAGAATTGGAAGGTAGCTCAACCCATCTGCGCAAGACGAGAAGAAGATTTGAAAAAAGCTCTGCTTGTCGATATGTACGATGATGATTGGGCTGTTGATGTCAAGTTAATTAAATCGGATGGTTCTTTCGGAAGTCGAATTTCGGACACTGGAAATGTGTACATGTTCACAGCTCATCATCTAGTTCCAGAGAACTACAGTTACTTCGATTGCAGTTCCAGCAGTGATGAGGAGATTGAATTAAAGGAGAAACCGATGAAAATGAGTAATGGCATTATGAGGCACCGCTCTTCAAGCAGTGAGAGTGAGCACAGAAATGGATATGCTGGTGTGAACCGGTATTAGAGATTTTTTTGCATTCTGTACTATCTTCCCCTCC